GCACATGCGCAGCGCGACGACTACCGCGCTTTAAGTTAATATAGCCCATGCCCCCCCCCCCCCATTTGACCCCGTCACAGATACCCCTGACATTATGACGGATCTCATATTTAGGCACGGAGTAACAACAGTTTACTCTTACATCAATATACGAGACATTCATTGTTACAATATGGCGTTCACCTTGCAACATTTGTGAACCAGAAAACAGAATTACTGGCTAAAACAATCCTGGATCCATGACATCACTTTTTATTAAAATGTTACAAATACACATAAAGTTAAGATATTGCCAAAAAATAAAAAATAAATAAAAATCGTTATTTTAGTCATGAAATAAAGAATGACACTTGTTGTCCCCTTTTTGTGGTCAACAGGTAATACATCACCTATATAACCTACTCACATCGGTAAATTGTATACAATATTAAAGGAAATTTGAGCATTTGGTAGAAAAACATAAAAATAATTATTTTCAGTTCTGTTTCCAGGACAACTATGTTTGGCACCAGTACATGTATGCTACCATGTTCTAAACTTTCAGCCAACTTTTGAAGTTATAGATGAAATCATTTCTCAATTTCTGACAACAGATCCTATGATGTCATACTCTACCCATAACCCTTTGCTGAAGACTCGAAATGGCGGACTACATAAATTAATGAAAAATTGAATATCTAGAGAATGAAAAGTGATATAAAAAAATGTAAATTGCATGTTCTTACATTTGTCGAGCTCTTTTATCTGGGAGTAGTAAGTTGTTAGCCTTGACTTTCCCTTTAAGCATACTAGAAAACATAGTTACTTTTTATTTGCAGGAAGGGTACGATTTTGAGCTGTGGATGTGTAAAGAATCTGCGGGAGAGGCTCATCTCCTTAACTGTATGTGCCCCCATTCAGCGAAGATACCCAAATTGTTCAATAGAACCACAAGTTACGAAGTGTCTCTGAATTACAGAATAACGATATATGATAATTCTTCAGATTCGTACTTCTGTCTTGTTCAATATAGTGGTGGTAAATGGGTACATGGAATACTCGAGGTCAAAGGTTAGAATTTAGCATTATTACATTCTCCCCCATTTCAGTAATCCATTTACTTGTGTAACCCATCATTACGTGTAAGGATTGTCTAAACATATGTGCTCTATTATCATTAATTTCAATAACTACCTGTATTATTAACTTTCGTTTATATTATTTTATCTTTATTTTAACTTTCCATTACATGTTTTTTTTCAGAGATAGTTTCATAATAAAGGATGTCTTCAGCAATTTACTTTGCAAAATGTTCAAATATAAACAATTGTACGTTATATTATTTAACAAAGTAGCAACATAACATTCTTCATAATTACCTGTACAGTGATTGTCGAATCGTGTTACATGTACATACTTGTAGAGTGGTTGACGAATCGTATTCACTGTGTCACATAGTGCAGTAACTGACGAATTGTATTCTCTGTATCATATAGTGCAGTAACTGACGAATCGTATTCTCTGTATCATATAGTGCAGTAACTGACGAATCGTATTCTCTGTATCACATAGTGCAGTAACTGACGAATCGTATTCTCTGTATCATATACTAGTAGTGCAGTGACTGACGAATCGTCTTCTCTGTATCATATAGTGCAGTGACTGACGAATCATATTCTCTGTATCATATAGTGCAGTAACTGACGAATCGTATTCTCTGTATCATATAGTGCAGTGACTGACGAATCGTATTCTCTGTATCATATAGTGCAGTGACTGACGAATCGTATTCTCTGTGTAATATAATATAGTACAGTGATTGACGAATCGTATTCTCTGTATCAAATAGTGCAGTGACTGACGAATCGTCTTCTCTATAGTGCAGTGACTGACGAATCGTATTCTCTGTATCATATAGTGCAGTGACTGACGAATCGTATTCTCTGTATCATATAGTGCAGTGACTGA